AAAGACAATATCTAGAACCTTAGTCGAAACATCTTCTGATGCCGTTGTTGCCTTATCCCGCCTCTCTAGGCTTCGAAGAGAATTACGGCCCCTCAACGCTTCAGAAAAAATAATTTCTGCTACATTGAATCCGGAGGTAACTAGGTTATCCAATAAAGTTCAAAAGGAGCATAGTGAGCAACGCGAAAATGAAGGAATAGATTTTCCAGACCACTTCTCGTTAGAATCGGTCAAGAAAAGATTGGATGAGTACGATGTATCTAATATACCTGACAAACAGGCCCTAGCCGATATAATGATAATGCTCTGCATTCATCCTGCTGAAATTAAAAACTTGCGTATATCTAATGGGGCTGTAACTGGATATGCAAAAAACCGAGGTCAACAGGATATTTCTCGGGTGTTTAGATCACTAGAAAAGAATAGGGAGTGGGCTAAGCAACTCCTTACTTGGATTCAGGATAATATTTGTTTTGGACAGTTAAAGGACCCAGGAAAACTTGAATCTACGTACTTAAGTACATTTTTGAAAAAAGACGAATTTATTCCTGAAAGTGGTGAACCATTACTTCCTAGCTCCTTATGCAAATTAGGGGCAGTATTTGCTTCTGTAGCGCATAGGCCTAAAAATGCATCAAAGGCTAGTACTTATGCTAGTGAGGCATTAAGGCATAGTCCTGACAACCACACTTCTCCATCTAAAAGATATACTATAGTCAATATGTGGAAAAGAGGAGAACCATATAATCAGGCAAGGCCATTCTGTATTTTCAATGAAAACTGATCACATATATAGGTTAGATACTGATTATTAAATTTTATTTTTTTCGCTCGAGGTAATATATATCATATATAAAATATCACAAAAATGATAACTGATCAAAATCATTCATACATCAACAAGTATAATAGTTCATCCAGTACTCGGATATTTGGGCTAGATAAGCAAAATGCGAAAGTGTATAGTGTGCTTTCTAAAGAGATTAAAGCGTTAGATAAAAAACTGGATGATTATCATTCTGAGTAAAAAAGACAGTAAAAAGATTGGAAAGAGATCTGGGGTCCCAAAAAATCGAATTAGACGGTCTGGACGAATGTGTAGATAGAGAAACTGTGGTTAACTGTATTAAGTCTTTTTCTGCGTCAACTATTTTGAGACTGGGTGTGGATGATATTGATTATGTAAAAGCTAAGGTTTTAAAAGCGAGTCAATGAAATTTACTGTGCCAAATTTTATTCAAGTGTGACCGCCCTGGTCACAGCTACCGAAATTTTTCTCGATTTTGATGAATATCAAATTTTTACTATCATTTCTATAAATAAAGTCAATGTATACGCTTATCAATTATTTTTAAACTCATGTACTCCTATAAATGTTACTGCTTAATTGGCTTATCTTTTTTTTTCTCATAAAATTCTCCTGTCTTATGAGGCTTATAACAAGATAGGGCATAAATGCAAGTACACTAATTACGGGTTTGTACAGTACATACATATAAAAAAAAATAACCACGTGTATATTATTTTTTCTATTAATATACAAATGTGGAATAATACAAATAAAAGAAGTCGAAATTATATCGAAAAGTGGCATATCTATAGAGGGTGGAAGCACGGGTGTAAGGTTTGTAACGAATGCAATCACTATTCACACCTGTATTGCAAAACATGCAAAAAAGTAGCGAATGGAATATATAAGCGATGTGAATGCGATAATTCTCGAATAAATTGCCATTAACGTGTTAGAATAAATTCCGCAAAATTTATCTGTACTACAGGGCTTATCATTATCATTAACATTATATGCAACCCAAATTTGGTCAATAATCTCATGACACATACGTTTTCTGTGCAACCAAATGTTTTTATGATTTTTTGAATTTTATTTTTTTGACGTTTGTAGAAAAAATAATATCTAAGCTTTAGATCTATTCCAAAGCCAGTAGAAAAATTTATTCATTCTAACCAAAACATATATATTTCTGCTTTTATAGTCTTTATAATAAAAAATAAAGGCTCTACTAGGTGGTCGGGCGAAGTATAATACATAGGGATCTTTCTCTACGCCGTAATGCTGAAGATCTCGAGATCTCCAACATGCATCCCACATGCCTAAGGGTCACCCTATGACCAATGTAGTGTAATGTAGAATGTAAAAAAAATGGCATAGAGCGCATATAGGTCCTTTTTCTGCTATTCTCTTGTCATTTGTACTGCCATTCAGAGATAAGCGAAATCCATTTATAAAGGGGAGTATAATGAAGTTATGGAAGTTTATCGCTTTACAGTGATTAAAAAATCGAACTAACATTTATTGCTTCCAAAATGT